CCACACCGTCTCCGCGCTCGCGCCTTTGTCCGCGGGAGCCCTGCCTTCGGCTCGCCACGTCGCGGCGCGCGCGCCTATTGTCACGCGGTGTCGGGCGACGCTGGATGATGTTGGTCGTGTCCGCTGTCGAAGGGGGGGAGGGTGAAAAGTGAGCGAAAGTTTTGGTCAATTGAGCAAAAGCAATGTGGTGAGTGAGGTCGGTGGGCTTCGAAGGTACGTCGCGTTGCTGCATAGCGGCGGGCAAATGGAGGTTCGACACGATATGAAGAGGTATCCCAAGACTTTTGTCACCTCAGTGTATAGGGACAATTCTATCGTACAGAGCCAACTGTACTTATACACAGAGGTGACGAAATTCGCGGGAGAGTTATATCGAAGAACTGTCCATATACCCTGAGGTGTCAAAAGTAATGGTATAACACCTAATATCGTGTCAGACCTCATTTTACCCTGGGAAGTAGAGCAACTCCATTGAACATGGACTCATCACGTCATTGGAAGTCCCCTGCAGATATATGAAGCCATGCTGCCTCTATAACCGTTTGTAATTATGAAAGTGTTTGCGGGGAAGGATTTTGTGCATGAACTGACGTCTTGATTATGTCCCATAAATTTTCGATGTGGCGAAATAATTCGCTCGAATTACCTAGAATGTTCTTCAAACCAATCGCGAACAATAATTACAGCACGATGACATGGCACATTGTCATCCATAGAAATGCGATCATTGTTTGCGAACATGAAGTCCATAAATGGCTGCAAATGGTGTGCATGTAGGTGAACGTAACTATTTTCAGACAATTATCGGTTCATTTTCATCAGGGGTCTCAGTCAAACCAAACCATAAGAAATGCACGACTATTCAAAACTTCACAAGTTAGTCAATATTTCGCCGAAGTTGCTCCACGTTAGTAATAGAATAGTTTCCCCACTTTGATCTTCCAGCGTTTGTTGGGACGTAAGAGTCTCTCCCTACCTTGCCCTCATTGTAATATTGAAGATGTTACGTCTTGCAGTGTAATTGTCGAAAGTTGTGGAACGATATCGAAGGTAGCGATGCAACAAAGAGAAACGAAGGCATGAAGCCGGGGCAGTTTTCTGCGACTAAATTTATCTTCAAGTTGTATGTATCTAGAGATGTATGTTTTCGAATTTCAGGCTTAGTTTTATCTTCTAAATTATAAGTATATGTTAGTTCAATTTTATTTAATTTTACATACTGTGACTTTTGAATATTTTTATATTGTATCTTCCCCGAATAAGATAATATACGACAACTATGTTAAAAATTAAGCATTCCACGAAAGTCTTAGAAATGACACTACTGATCCCAGGATACTGTTAAAAGTTTCGTATGTTCACTGAAAATTACGTGACTGAAAGAGAAAAATATTAATTTGCAGATTAATTTTCAAAAAATATTTTTAACAAATCCTCTTTGAGCTTGGTGTTCACAGATATTATACTTCCGAAGTATGAATGAGGCTTTCTCCGAAGCACTAAGCACTTCATGAAAGAGAGATCACGTTCAAGAAAAGAAATCCTTATTCAGTAATCGAGTAACGTGTGTCCGTCCGGCCGTCCGGCCGTCCCATCTTTAACGGTCAGGCCTCTTCGTATCCACCAATGGAAACAAATGAGGTGTCATTTAATGCGACTAGGTTTTTGAAGATAACTGTTCATTATTTGCTGATCTATTCAGAAGAATTTAAGAAATTCCTCTAAAAAAAGTTTTTTTTTCGTTTTTTCTGTTTGTTTTTTTGAAGCTGCTAAAATGTTTTTCACGTGACTTAGTGTTCAATAAGCTGTACTCGATTTTTCTTGATAAGAAAATTCGATTTGTACAATTTTTAGTCGGTTCTCTCTGGCGTTTTCGCAAGAAAAAATGGTGTTTTAGTAGTTTTGCTGTTTGGAGTATTGTGAGAGCCGCTTGTTATCATAAAATCGTGTAAAATGTCAGAGGAGACAAGTAAGATAGTTGTTCGATGTTTGAATGAAATTATGTATGTTAAAAAGAAGTCAATATGTCAAATTGTATGATTTCAGTAAATACAATAAATTATATGTTTCAATGACAATGAAGTAGGTATTAATTCATCGATATTAAAAGGAAAAAGCATACAGCATCGTTAGGAAGATACGTATAATATATATTTTAATCAGGATTTATTTTTAATCAGGTCACTTTTTATGTCTGAAAATGGACGAGCCAATGAAATGTAAATGTAATAAATTACTTATTATGGCCTTTCAAAGTACTAAAAACCTTGGAAACATGGAAATAACCGCCTGAGGTCCCATAATGAGCCAATGTGATAGTGTTCAGAAGTCTATATAAATTCATGATACGTGACAATTTAACCCCTAGGAATATTCTCGTTTTGGTAAACAGAGCATTGCGGGTATAACTTCAACGAATGAAATTACTGATTTTATTGAGAAGGCAATAAGCGCGGGCAACTCGAATATAGGTATGCATGAACACCGTCCGGATTTGTCCAAACACAAGACAAGCAAACTGTTTGTCACAAGTGTTTCTAAACCCCCTTGAGGCCGACGCAAGAAGTGCATTTGCACATATATTCGAATACTTCATTTTGTAGATTATTTGTTTTGAAATATATTCGCAGTGAAAAATGATCGTTTTACAGTTGTTATTTAATTTACATGATTTATTAAAAACTCTACCATGCTTGTTTATTTAATTAAATTATCCAAATTTAAAATTATTATTTTAGTAAATATATTTAAACCTTTAGAGCTACCTACTGGTTCTATTTTGGAAATATTAAAATAGTTAAATTTTTCTTAAACGAGGGCCCTCACGACATGTGCCACACTTGATTCACCGTTGTAACACCACTGCCCTTTACACTTGGTCGGAACATAAGTAATGGACTTGGCAGTAACATTAAGCACAGTAATGGACAAGTCATGTTTAGTTGGCAGGAACCATAGCGAAGCAATTTATTTTGCTGATAGTGTTTTACCAGATGTTCTGTGAACTGTAAATAAGAATGTGTTACTTTCAAAAATACAACCTATTTTCTCTTACATTTCATCCCTTGAAAGGCAAAGTGTCGAATTTGGAGATGTCACATTTCTTGCGCCCCGACGACACGTCTTGCCGGAGAATGGTTGGAACAGCGGCTCCGAACATCCTTTGGAGGCGCCTCGCTCCGTCTGCAGGTGACGCGCGTCGTCTCCGCCGTGCGTTCGACAGGCGCGCCGGCGGCGGCAGTGGCGGCGCTGTTGGATGTGTAACGAGCGGCGCGCGACCCCCGCGAGGGTCCCGCCCACGCCCACGCCCACCGCCCCCGCGA